AATATGGTGCGGACCGACGGCGGCGGGGAGGGACAAGCACGGGCTTGTCCTCAACCGACCGCCAAGGTCAGTCCACCCAGCTTATTCTAAACGTCGCCTTTGCTCTTCGCGCGCGTTTAGTCGGAGCCGAGCCGGAGTGGACGCGCAGCACGCGGGCGAGCACGGAACCGCCTCCGCCCGTCAGCACTGGTACGTCACCCAGTGCTGCTCCGCGGCGTCGAGGCGTCGATCCGCTCGTGCGTGCGCGCGTCCCTGCACGCTCCCGCTCTACCACCGCTACCCGGGCCCGAGCCCGGTTCCGTAGCTGGTTGGCCCGCTTCACCCCTTCTCCGATCCGGGGTCTACAGGTCGAACTGCGCATACACCTCCAGTCGTCTGGGGGTGTTTATGCTACAGTGGTCTCCCGACCTAGAAGACCCCGAGATCTTTCCGAGAAGACTTTCTTTTTCCTCCGCGTCCGTACGCGTTGAGATGAGTCAAGAATACGCCACCTTGATCCGGTCCGAACCGGCGGATCCGAGGGCGGCCGCTATGCACGCACCATCACCGCCGTTCGGCGACGGCGACGCTGATCTCCGAGACCGCGAACCGTCGCCCGAGTCCCCCGAAGGACAAGCGGCTGCGATGTTCGATCGCATAGCTGACTACATCGAGAAAGTCCGTACTTCACTCCGTGTAGACGTGACGGACGCCGTCTACTCGCGATGTATGGACGAGCTCCGCTCCCTACGTGAAGGGAGGTTCGATCGAGTCAGCCAGTCCTTGGAGAATCTCCGAGCACTAGTCGACGAGTTACACTCGCGACTGGTGCTCGTCGAAGACTCACGCCTCGCACAGCCCGTACTGCACGGGCAAGGTCGCCCCACGAGGCCGACCTCGACGAGACGTCCCGACGATCGACCGTCCCCGTCAGCAGAGCAGTTGGGTGCGTTCGCGCACCTCTCCGCCGAGCTCAACGCTACGCGACAGCGTGCTCGTGACATGGAACGGACCATGGCCGCAAGGCTGCCCGGTGCCCCCACGAGAGGGCCCGGTGGTGCCGTACCTCCGAGCGCCGTCGCTCCGGAAGGTTGGCGTCCGACTGGCGCCGACACTAGTCGGACTGCGGAAGGAAACCGTCCTCCGATGGGCGCGAATCTCGCGTCCGAGACCCAAGCATTGCCGCCTCTCCCCGGAAGTAGGCGGCAGATGGAAAGCTTATCGTACGCCGACGTACAGGACCGTGGAGGAGCCGCTCGCGGATCCGGAGAACCCATGTTCTCCGTCGATCCCCGCCGGGGCGGCTACCCGCCAGCGGGTTACACCGCGCATCCAGGTCCGGTAGACGTCCGTACGATACCCGTCACTGCCTTTGGCACGCTCGGTCCCGCCGAGCCCGGGCTCGAGCCGGTGCATACGATGATCCAAGAGTTCAACGCCGTCGCTGACTATCGTATGTACCGCTTGGACAACACCTCGAGGCTCGTCACCTCGGGTGACGCGAGACGGAGCGCGAAGTACGTCCAACGCTGTCGTGGGATCCGTCCCACGATGCGTAGCTTTGACGGTACGGACCCGATCGAGCTGCTGCCGTTCTTGAAGGATATTCGGATAACCTTCAACTCGCAACACCTGCCCGAAGGTGTTGCGGTGAGAGTCCTCGCGCACTTCTTAGAGCGCGACGCGGAGCGCCTGTATACAAGTTATACGATTCGTGGCCTCCGCGCCGGCCAACTACACGACGACGTGAGTTGGCCGGGGCTCGTGAAACAGTTCCTGAAACGCTACCTAACCGACGACGTGTTAGGTGAAGCGTACGACGCGGTCGCGACGGCGCGACAGCAACCTCATGAAACGGAGAGCACGTCGCAGACCGGCTCGAAACGGCCGCGTTCCGGTGCACGGCAGTGTTCTCCGAACAGTCCCTCGCGCACTACTTCGTGCGGGGACTCGCTCCTGCGATCCGTGCCGCACTTTCCGAGACAGTGCAGCGGCTGCCGAGCCGCCAGAAGACCGATCTTCCGACCATCCGCCGTATCGCAATGGCGGAAGGAACCGTTTACCGCGCTCGACGCGGTTTACCTCTGCGGGATTCGAAACCGACAGGGAGGGCTGGCAGGACTACGAAGTCCGCCGCAACAAGTTCGCCCGCCTCTACCTTCCATGTCGGGGAGGATGAGTGGCAGGCCGACCCTGTCCTCCTTACGCAAGGAGCAGGGCCAGTAGGGGGTCGACCCCCTTCACCAATGTCGACCGGGACGACATCCAGTTACGCGACCGCCTTCGCGGCCACTCCAAGAGCGCCCAGGGGTACGGACCCCCGGGTCGCTGAGCTCGACGTCTCAAACCGATACCGGAGGTGAAGCCTCTCGTGTGCCCCTCCTCACCGATGAGGAGGCGCGTCACGCGGCGACCTTCGCCTCAACGGACGGCAGCGCGTACGTGTGCTGGCTATGTCGTACGTACGGACACGCCATGTACGCCTGCCCGTTCCTGTCGCCGGAACAACGAATGTTCACGGCGTACAGGAACTACCGCTACCAGATGGAGACGCGCCCCGGAGCGCGCAATCTACTCCGGCAAGCGGTCGGCGATGGTCGTCCCCCGCGTCAAGGTTTCCCGAATCGGTCGGGTGGGGGCGCTCGCTTCGCCCACCGTGGAGGCGGGTATCGTCGTACCGAACTCGATCGTCGGGATCGGCCCGACTACCGCCAGGCCGACACAAGGTACCCCCGCCAAGGAGGGAGAGGGGACCGAGACCGTTCTCGGTTACCCCAACAGGTACAGAACGCGATCATGTACCTACAAGATTGGGTAGAGGGCCCGTATCCCCTACCCGCAGAGGGACAAGAAGGCGAACCGGTTCGACACGTCCCTCAGATCCTGCGACGTCCGGATGACGCAGCTCAAGGTCAGGAAGTACCCGGGTACTTCGCCGATGACGCGCGGCCGCAGTGCGGGGATCGTCCCGACCCACGCGGCCAAGGACCCGAAGGGGATCTGGCCACTGATAGCCAGGCGGGTAGCTCCGATAGCACCGGTAGTTCGAAAAAAGGGTAAAGACGGTTACGTACACGCGGTCGCGTGAGCCGTCTTTTCCCTATGAACTAGACCGGTCCCCGCGTGCTGGCCAAGGACACGGGGGGTATTGCCCGATAATACATCCCCCGCTATCGGAGTCGAGCACGGGGACTCCAGCAATGTCGACATTGCCGGAGAAACCCAACACCGAGGCCCGCGTAGACCCGATGTTGGAAGAAGGCATCACCGGGACACCCGACGTCCCAGTGAAGCGCAACGAGCGAGACGCGGTTAACGTCGACCGACACGAGTCGGTCGACCTCCTGACCCCCGTGAGCCCAAGGTTGCCGACGAAATGTCCGCCTCGTACGGACTGCAGCACCTGGACGAGCGTCACTGAGACGCGAACGTCCCCGGGCTCGAGCCGAAGGAAACGCAAGTGGGGCCAACGCCGAAGTCGAAGGCCCCGGCGGAACGACCTCACCGATAAGGTCGCGCCCACCGTGGTCGATGGCCTCGTATGCCTCATGACGTCGAAAATATATAACGTCTTGGGCTCCGTGGCCACCGAAGGCAACGCGTTTAAGCCCCACACGATCGCCGTCGACACGTGCTCGGGCTACAACTTGGTGAGGAAGGCCGACCTCCCTCCCGACTGGGCCCGCTACGTAATACGGGACGCGCCATTACCACGCCTAGCTGGCGCGAACAGTAACCCGCTTCGGCTTACGGCGGTCGTCCGCCTGGCGGTCCGGCTGCGGAACACGACGTTCCGCATACCTTTCGCAGTGGCTGAACAACTCGCTGTTCCCGTTCTACTTGGGACCGCGTTCATTGATGCTCACGTACGCAGCATCGACATCGACGGACAGAAGCTCGAACTCCGTCACGGTGGCTCCGTAGCCATCGTCAATGGGAAGGGGGAACCGACTTCCCCTACCAGGCGACACGGTCGCCAAACGAGTCGTCCGGAGGTACGCGAGGAGGCCCCGCAGGCGATCCGAATCGCTCGCTGGGTTACCATCCCAGCGATGTCGCAAGCCCGTGTGCGTGTGACAACCGCGGGGAGGGGTCTCGTGTTCCTGGAGCCCAAGCCCTCACTCCAACACCGGCATGGAGTGAGGCTGACGAATGGCGTCGCGGAAGTCCTGCCGAACCAGACATTAGAAGTCATCGTCGCGAACTTCTCGCGACGGGAAAGGCGGCTTCCGAAGCACACCGTCGTGGGATACGCGAAGGGCAACCCCCTCGCGATCCTCACGCCCGAACGTCGAGTCGCTGAGGGGGTCGCGCACGCGTTGCACCTGACCGACTTGACCGATCAAGTCGGAGAAGTAGGAGCTGGCCGATCCAGCTCCGACGAGAAGGCAACCGCTGGGAGTGAAGGGGTTGACCCGGACGAACGGTCACCTATACCCCCACCGACAGCGGAGGGTACTGTACCCCCCCAGCAGAAGGATCCCGAAAATCCACCGATGGATTGGGAAAAAGAGATTGACTTGTCATACATCGACGATGACAAGCTCCGTGGCCACGTGCTTTAGATGCTCCGTAAGCACTCGAGTCTGTGGAGCGGTGCGCTCGGAACGATCCAAGCCACGGAGCACCGCATCCCCCTCGAACCGGGAACGAAACCGATTCGTTCTATGCCCTATCGGAAGGGCCCGGCCATGCGCGAAATGGTCGCGAAGGAGGTCAACAAGATGTTGAACGCAGGGGTTATCGACCCCGCGAGCACCGAGTGGGCGTCCCCGGTGGTGCTCGTACCGAAGAAAGACGGCTCTCTTCGGTTCTGCGTGGACTACCGGCGCCTCAACGCGAAGACTGCAGCGGATTCGTATCCGCTGCCGCGTATGGACGACTGCATCGACTCGTTAGGAGATGCAGCCGTCTTTACGACGTTGGACTGAAATTCCGGTTATTGGCAAATCCCGGTCGCTCCGGAGGACCAGGATAAGACTACCTTCACGACACATATAGGTACGTACCGCCATTTGCGCATGCCGTTTCGATTAAAAGGGGCACCGGCCACCTTCCAACGTGCCCTCGATATCATACTCTCCGGAGTCCGCTGGCAAATATGCCTCGTCTATCTCGATGACGTTATCGTGTTCTCGCGTACGGACACGGAACATGCAAGGCATCTCGATACCGTCTTGAGCTTGTTGCGGAGTGTCGGCATCTCCCTCAAGCTCAAGAAGTGCGGCTTCTTCCGTCCGGAGGTGCACTACCTGTGGCACGTTATATCCCCAGGTAAGTTGAGCGTGGCTGATACGGCAATCGACGCCTTCAAGACGTTCACGTTCCCGAGGACGCTGACGCAGGTGCGTTCGTTCCTCGGGGCGTGTAACGTGTATCGTCGCTTCGTCAAGGGCTTCTCGAAGATTGCCCGTCCGTTAACCGATATAACGCGCAAGGACTCGGATCACGATTTCGATAACCCAACGAAGGTTCAGCTTCAGGCTTTCGAAAGCCTGAAGGCGGCGATGATCTCCCCGCCGATCCTCGCGCTACCACGGTACGGCCGACCGTACCTGTTGGACACTGACGCCAGTGCATATCAACTCGGGTGCACCCTCCTGCAAGAGCACGACGAGCCAAACGATTGGCCCCCCGTTGGGTACTGGTCGTACTCGTTAAGCGATAGCGAACGGAACTACAGCGCTACGGAGCGTGAGTGCTTCGCCGTGGTGTGGGCCGTCCGCACACTGCGGCCGTACATCGAAGGAACCAAGTTCACCGTCCGGACGGATCACGACGCCCTCCGATGGCTCATGTCCCTCACGGAGAGCTCGGGAAGACTCACCCGGTGGCGGCTACGTCTGGCTGAATAAGATTTCACCATTCAGTACCGCCCCGGGCGCGTGCATCAGGTGCCCGATGCCCTGTCACGCCTCGTGTCGCCTCGTGTCGCCGATGACCCTCGCCTCACCGTCGAGGTGGATGACGACATTCCCACCTTGGATGGGGGCACGACCGTTCGAGACGTATCGAATGAGCTGGCGGACCACGCCTGTACCGCGAGCTGTGATCATCAGGCTGTCCATGTCTTCGTAACGACACGGAATCAAGCCGAAGCCCGAACAAGGTCGCGCGTACGGACGCGCGACGAACCGAGAGCCGACGACGAGGCCCCCGCTCTCCAAGGACCCAATTCGTTTTGGGAGGAGGACGACGAGTTCGACGCCGCCGACATCCAGCGCGCCGAAGACCCCGAGGCTGGCGCGCTCGACTCTCCGGTCGCCCCACCGCAGGACGACCTTCCGTCCCCTCTTACGATAGAGGAGATAGCCGAGGAGCAACGCGTGGATGACTTCTGCCAAACCGTTTTGGCACGACAGTCCGAGTCTCGAGACTCCGCGTTCTTCGAGGACCACCAAGGGGTGCTCAAACGGAGACACCCCTTCGATCCTGATACCGTACAGATGGTGGTGCCTCGGACGCTCCGCGCCAGGCTCCTTCGCCTGTGCCACAACCCGGCCATCGCGGGGCACCCGGGCCAGAACCGTATGTACGACGCACTTCGACGCGAGTACTACTGGGCCCACTTGGCTGCAGACGTGGCAGCCATGGTGCGAGGGTGTGGGACCTGCGCGATGAACCGGGTCAAGCTGAGGAACATCTCAATCGATTGAGATTATTCCCAGCTACGAGACCTCTCGAGAGCCTCGCCATCGACATCTTGGGGCCGCTCCCCAAGACGAAGACAGGAAAACGATTCCTGGTCGTGATTACGGACCGCTTCAGTAAGCTGACGCAAGTCGTTGCGCTCCGCACGATAACAGCGTACACGGTCGCGGTTGCGTTCTGCGACTCGTGGGTGTTCAAGTATGGCGTCCCTCGCACGTTGCTTTCGGACAACGGCCCTCAGTTTAATGCCAAGTTCTTCCACAGCACGTGTCGTGTTCTGGGGATAACGAATTTGTACACTTCGGCGTACCATCCCCAGACGAACGGGCAAGTCGAGCGATATAACCGAACAATGGCCTCGATGCTGAGGAACTACGTGGGTGAACACCAGGACGACTGGGACGTGTACGTGGGGCCGCTTACGTACGCGTACAACTCCCACGTACATCGCACCACACGCACCACGCCGTTCGAGCTCGTGCTCAGCAGGCCACCGCCGGAGTTCTCTCTCCGACGGGCCGACGGCGACGCGCCCCCTTCCGATAGGGGGAACCAACGTGCCGAGTTTCTCAAGACCTTGGACTCGACTATCCAGAAGGCCTACGGGAGCCTGCGTCGGACGCAGGCTCGCGACAAGTGCGACTTCGATAAGCGCATAAGACATATTAATTCCCGGCTTCGTCCTGGAGAATACGTATATCTAAACCCCACCGATGGGGGGAAGACATCAAACAAGCTCGCCTCCCCGGCTGTCGGACCGTACCGAGTTCTCGCGAACGACCAGCGCACTATCACCATCGATCGTGATGGAGTTACAGAGCGCGTCTCGGCAGACCGCTGCGTCTACGCACCCCCGCCGGCGAACGCGCCAAGGGCGAGCACGACTACCCCCGAGGACCTTGCCGACAAGATCAATGAAGGCACACAGTATGCTGTCGAACGGCTACTCAAGCATCGCATCATGGAGAATGGAACTATGAAGTTCCTCATTAAATGGGCAGACTACGATACTCCCACATGGACGGCGCGTACACACATCCCCGAGGAGTTAGTGTCGCGCTACGCCAAAAGCCTCCGGAGACGCACCGGCATGGAACTCAACTCAGACGTGAACGCGGACGTTCACGCTTGAGGAGGTGGCCCGCAACCGCTCCTTCGCGGATTAAAATGTCAGACTGCACGAGCATACTGAAAGAAGAGACGCGAAAGGACAACTGCCTCCATCGGAGGGTCACACGATAAGACGACGGCCGACGTCAAGACGTAATGACAAATCAAGCCAGTGCGAGAAGGCGCGACGCCTCCGGCAGGACGCGGAATAAAAGACGGTACGGACTGTCTTTCGAAAACATGGCCCCTCGGTTGGGTACGAGAGACTCCGACGAGAACCCGGTAGTCCACCGTCAAGGAAGCCAACCTCCCAAGGCAGAAAGAGGTATGCAGATCGCCGCACCGATGTGAGACGAAAGGCGGTCACGCGAAGCTGAGCAACCGAGCCAGCCTTCCTGCAAAAATAAGAGAGCCATGGGGGAGACAGCACGAGCGAGACAGATATACGCGTTACTTTTCCCGTCCTGAATTGAACACGGAGGACGACCTCAGCCGCACAATTGTTTTGCCGACGCAGACCTTTTCCACGATCGCTGCCCCGGATGGGAAGCGGAAAGATGGACAGTACGTACCGTCTTACGAAAATTGGCTAAAGAACGGCGAGTGACGCGAGAAGAACACGATCTGGAAAAATTAGATGCCCATAGTCGTCGGTCAGGCCGTACTGTCCGAATAGGGACGGCCCTCGTGGTAATCCGTGAGACGAGAGCGGACGAACCGCGCAGGTCCCGGTGCACGTGCAATGGGAACGCGCGAAGTATACGGCGGGTCTGCCGACCCCACCCTAGAATAGGGAAAATGGACACGGTAGATGAGAGCGCAAACGTGCGTACTGAGCGCTACAAGGAAGACCTGGCACCCCCAGACGACCGACGCTGCCACGGGCTAAAATAGACAGGGAAGAAAGGTTCGGCACGTGTACGGTGGTGCAGTCGGGATGAGTTACCACGAGCAGTGACGCCGATCCGGGTCCTGAGGTGTGCACGAGGTACACACCAGATCTGGGAGCCAATGCAAAAATATAGGAGGAGCCGCCGGCGGCTCGGTCAAACCGCCGCAATCCGACCCCAAAATGCAAGAAAAATTAGCGGGAATGAAGAATTACACCAAGCCATGGAGGGCGCGTACCTTGCGCACGCGCTTTGTGCGCACGTGACGGAAGCAAACGGTGGCGGCGCACAGTCGCGTATAGCGGATACCCCTCCCCGCCCCGGACGGACACGAACCAGCGCATAATGCACACGGCACCGCGACAGCGCGAAGCTGTGCTGCCCGCCGTTGGGTACTGTACTGAATTCATACACTGTGCACACCCAGTTCGGACTGGACTGCGCACCAATCACGGATCGTGCGCTAATTTTTGGAAGAAAACATTTTCGCGGGAAAATTATTTTTTGGACTTTTTTGGGGCGATTTAATCAAGGACAAGGGGGCCTTTGCGCACCTGCATCGCTGGACAGCACGCGCAGGCGGCATACGCGACCCGCAAGTCAGTTTCAGTTATACACGTGCCATGCGTGTGGTCGCCATCCAAAGTGTACGCGTACACTTTGGATGATAGCGGGGAGAAGGTGACACACGTGTCAAGCGCCGGCGCCCCGAGGATTTTAATTTTGGGGAAAATCTGGCGTAGGAGAGACTGCGCGCCAATCACGGATCGTGCGCTAATTTTTGGAAGAAAACATTTTCGCGGGAAAATGATTTTTTGGATTTTTTGAGGCGATTTAATCAAGGACAAGGGGGCCTTTGCGCACCTGCATCGCTGGACAGCATGCGCAGGCGGCATACACGACCCGCTCAACTCCCTCGTGTCAGAGTCGCGGTCAGGAGAATAGGTCCTGCGCGGTCATCCGCTCCGAGACGTCTGGCCCTGGCCCCGTCTCATTTTTGCCCCTGGTGTTGCATCCATGACTCAGCTCGCCTGGTATGCCGTGTTGTAGCGCATTTTTATTCGTTTAAATATCATTGGTGCGCCACTGCCAACAGTGGACGAAGCATGATGGAATCGCTACGGGAAATACCTGTCACTGTAAGTCCAGTTATGCTTGTGACCACGTCTTTCCAGAACTTGCACGGACGTTTATAGTTTCTCCTAAAATTTCCGCAAACGTTTTGGCAATGGTTTGCCGATTCTTTTCGGTTTTGTGGAAAAGTGGCTCAGTTGGAAGACATCATTACAGCTAATCGAGCTGTTTACAAATTGCTTACGTATGGAAAAGGTCCTCGAGGTGATGATCTGGTGCTCGCACCAGCTGTCCAGAATTGAAGGTCTTTGTGCTCGGGCGAGCACAAAGACCTTCAATTCTGGACTTCGAAAGCGCGTGAGTCTCTCTTAGATTATCTGATTGAAGTGGATGGGCCAGTAACACCCACAGAAACGGCGGCGTATTTGGAAGACAAGTAGTGGTGGGGCACGGACGTTGAGGCTCTTTTCTTTCCCCCGGAAGACAAAGACAATTCACTGGAAGCGCATCCAAGTAAACAAACGAACAGTTAGGTGGTATGGAATCGTTTGGAGCTGGTAGAGTGGAAACAGCGGTCTCGTTAGGGATTATGAGACTCGGTCATAAAAAATCATATAGCGACCGCTGGGCACGCCTGCCGAGATGATGATCTCGTTGTAGTGGTGATCCATAAGGGGCCGCTGGGTGCCCGGGAAGAGGGCAAAGCACCTGGAAATATTGGTTTTGATGTCCTCTGTGGCGGCGCCCTTGTATGAAGCCAGGATAACTTTCCTACTGCCCATCATAATTTCTATACGATGCCTGTCGCAGTCATTGTCCGAAGCGCTCGCATCGGCGCCAGGCTTTTGCGTGAGAGGCGGCGGCGTCCCCGAGCGCTGCAGCCGCGGCTGCTTCTGCTGCTGCTGAGCAGCGTCGATACGATCTCGTGGGCTTTCCTGATACTCTCGCACGCATAAACATAATACACAATCCCAACACACAATCCCCACAACCAACCACTCCCAGACCCCTCCCCCTACGCCCGCCCTTGACCTGACCCAGTGCTCTCTTTCAATTATTGAACCCACTTGCGTATTATCCCGCCCTGTCCGCCATCCTCCCGACATTAACGCTGCCCACTCTCACTAGCT